TCCTTGTGATATTTTAGGAAATAAAGTTAATATAAACATGTGTTTGTTAATAGTAATGTGCGGAGCTTCTTTGAACATTATAGGGATTCCCTTTCGTGCGCTCCAATCGATAAAAAAAAATTCATAGTAAATATCATTGTACACCACCGGTTTTTCTGAGTTTCATATTCCTATTAGATAGAACTATTGACATAACAACTTTTTTATCCCTTGTGTGATTTTTGTATCTAGCTTGATGGTTTTTGAGGAAACAATAAAAATTCGATTTGACTCCAAATTTCGATGTGTTTTCAAGACTTCCATTGAGATTACTCGATAACCCCAATTTTTTTTTATGTTCTGGTTGCCACGTAATGTTCAGAGAACATCGTGAGAACCAAGGGAAATGGGGTAGGAATTGGTGTTCTTCATTTTGAAATTTTGGGGTTTTCTCAGTCTCCATCCATACTGAATTCTTGAACCATGAAAGCTTATTCGCAAGATTCACGAAGTGGGCGACATCTAGGTTACATAATACGAACTTCAAACTGGGGGAAACAAACTGTTGTCTATGGATAAAGTGCATAGACCACATTGCATTCAGCTTGCTGTAGTTGTAGTCGAATTTGTCAATGACATAAAGTGTTGGCACTGTTGGTAGTGATGATGGTTGAGTTGATTAATTTTTTTACATTATTACATTCTTATTAGTTTAGTGAACATTGAACGGGCGAAGAATTGGAGATAGTTCAAACAATTCAAGCTAATTATGACGAGCAAATCAATTGACATATAAAAGAACAGCTACAGCATGTTTTCAATACCCAGATTGTCCTGCTTTGCATGAACAATCACAAATCCATTGTTCTACAGGAGTTCCTCTGGACCCCAACTTCAATTTTACTTCATGTGGGGAAGATTTCATCGCCGAAGTTTGTAGACAAAGTGCAAAAATGTGCCTTTTGTTGAAGTCTTCTGTCTCACACAAAATTACATGATTAGCACGGAGAACTGCTTCTCCTTCCACTACTGGTCGGCTTTTTCCATCTAAATAGAGCAAAATATCTACCAAAAGAACATCTACAACAGGTATTATTAGCGTTTTCGATCGGATATTGACAATTAATGTCAAGAAATTCAATAACTTATCACTCTTATCAGTACACAGTACACAAGCTATAATGGGATTCAGTGAGGATTGAGTTTGTTTTCCCCTAATTTTGACGTGGCTTTGACATGGGACGATGAAAAACGAGCGCCACCTGGTACATTGATTCCCGCGAATACAGCGGGGTTATAAATAAAAACAATTCATACTTCCAACTTCAACATCCAGTATCTCGAAAACGGAGCAAGTTAGGACACATGTTTATGTTAACTTTATTCGCTAGAATATCACAAGGAAACATCCCTTCCGGTGTTATTTAGATACACCCTGTATATAGCGAGATGAATACCTACTTGGACTATATCAAATGCAAAATGCGTTATAGGAATTAGTACACTTTCCAATTATTGTACGTATCCACAAGAGTGTAAGGAGAAAGTGAAAAATTATATAGTTTCCATAATTATGTACCCTCATCTTTTTTGTTGGGAAAAAAGTACCGGTAAAAAGTAAATGGAACAGACGAACCCATATCGATTTGAAACCTTCCTTCTTATATTTCAATTTCAAAACCCAGAAGTGTTTTGATTAGTTGATGTTGGACAATACTTGAATAAAGAGCAAATTATTCATGAAATCTTCTAAACACTCCTTCGTTGATGATATTGATATTATATTACAAAAATCGAGCCAAAATGATTGGTTAGGTAGGTACTGAATCGATAATAATCCAATGTCAAGGATCTATGAAACGTGTATGTATAGGCGGTATAAATAAATTCGAATGAATATACAGTGTGTTTCATTAATGCCCCCCTTTTATTTTTCAAACGGGTCGACAGAAAAAATTGGAACTTGAAGACTGAAATTGATGCATGAATACTATATTTTGGAGGAAAATTGACAGATGGAAATTCCAAGATGGCGAATGGCCCCCATCTGAAAAAAAAATAAATGGAAATAAATGACCGAACATTTTATGATTGCCTGAAAACATCGACGTTCACTTCATAATTTGAGGAAGTAAGCTGTGTTCAGTTCAGAAGATGCTCGAAATGATTGCCTTGAACTTCTTGACGTTAGAACAGCCTATCCGCCATTTTACGCCGAACACTTTCGAACACAGTTACGTCGATATAATATCTACAAATATTTATAATTCTCTTTCGTACATCTGATATTGAAGCAGGTGCAGTTTCGTACACATTTTGCTTCAAATAGCCCCATAAAATGTCTAGAGGTGTCAAATCTGGCGAGCGGGCTGGCCATTCTGTAGGACCTCGACGAAAAATCCAACGATCGGAAAAAGAACCCCCTTTCCGTTTAATTTTGTTTTCCCAGAAAGCGCCTGTCGCCATCTTGAAATTTTCATCTGGTCAATCTTTCTCTAAAATATAGTATTCATGCATTATTTCAATTTTTCAGTTGACCCGTTCAAAAAATTAAAGGGGTTGGGACATTGAAGACGCTGATATTTCATGAAGCTATCCCTAGAAATGTATACTTTCATACCTATACTAAGAGTGGTTAATATACATAAATGTAAATATTATTCAGTTGTTTATAGACTAATGTTTCCACTATCGTTTTTTATAAATAATTCATCGAAAAGTTTATGCATAAATCACTGTTTACTTTTCCTTCAATGTTTTTTTTTTGTTTCTTCGCATTATTTTCATCGAGTACCTACCTACTGAGTTAAAACATCTCGAACAAAAACAATGATTAATTTATTGATTCCTTAGTCCATAACAATACAGGAAATAATTACTTGAAAATTGTGAAAGTAAATCATCATCGAACACAGATTGCGAAAACTATAAAGATATACAAAGTTGGTTACCAAAAACGCCAGTTTTTTAAGTACGTTTAGATGTATACCTGTTTATGGGTCGAATATAAATTTTCGCGGCATTGTAGATGAGAAAGTTGATGCAGAATACGGAATACGAATATCAAAAAATATATTTAAGGTCATTTGAGGATTAATATAATATAATATAGTTGGTATCAGTTCCGGTAAAACCGAAAATGATACCTTAGTTTTTGGAAGACGGTACATCGGATTTCAAATTTGAAAACGCCAACTTAAATGAACTATAAAGATAACTTAGACAAAGATAAAAAAGGTTTCAGGAAATTTTGTTTTTTTTTTCGGTTATCCTCGGATACCCCTGAAAGTTCTCGGGATTTTCCAAGTTTCAAAATGACAATTTGTTAGGACTGAAATTGCGTAACTTTGCCATGATTTAACCGACCCTGTATCTCTTACGGTGACGAGATCCCAATGATGAAGCTCATCTACTTCCAGCCACCCTGTACATTATATCACGTGAATTCGTGAATTCGGATATTTGATTCCAGGAAACCAATAAGGTGACAGAGGTAATTACCTACCTATGGTTCCTGATGGATCACCCAAGAATTTGGAACCAAAACTAGCTTCAAATATCTGAATATCTAGTTCACAACATTCTTATTAATTTTGAATTGGTTTATTTCTTCTTTCGACGTGATATAAACATGTTTGTGATAGTCAAAATATATTTTTATACCTACCCAATCCAAAATGTGGTAATCAAGATAACTGAATGACGTATGAAACAGAAAATAATAAATAATATGGCTAACAAAAACATTTTCAGGTGATTAAAAGGTGATAAATATTATAGGACATTATAGTAATTATGTATTCAGAAAAGTCATTAAAATATAGTCAAATATATGGGGTCATCTAATACTGTCTATTGAAAATGTCTGGAATAGGTCTAAAAGTTACAAAATGAGGTGGAGTCAATGCAAACAGAATACACTGTATACACAGGATGTCTTAGCCCACATAGCACAAAATGTTAAGCAAATATTCGGACAATATTACAATATTGCAATTGCATTAGCATCAGTCTTCCAGATATGATGCAGAAAAACCGCATTTGTATATTAATGCAATCTCAATGTTCTTCAATATTTAGAAATATTGCTGCAATGTTACTACCTAATATTTTTGAGATGCATCTACAAATGTATTTTCAATCTCTGGCATCTGGTATGCTTCTTGAATCAATCATACAATATTGTTCATGCAATTTATAATAAATGTTGCAGCTCGTGTTGCAACAATATTGTTCGAATATAATTTCAGAATCTATGCTTGATTTCAGAGATGTCTACTTTTAAATATTTGTGCATCTAGGAATGTTGTATCAATGTTTTTCAATGAAACAAAAATATTCCAAATCTCTCTGGATTATGTTGCTGCAATATTTATGAAATAAATCTGTGCTGTAAGGGAGAGCTGGTCAAATCAATCATTTATCAAACAATCCATCAGAAACAACCCCCTATTTTTTTTCTTTTTGAATGTACTCCCTTGTTTTTTTTTTGTTATGCAATGAAACTTTCTCTTATCTCTATTATATTCATGATATAAAATTTCCTATTCTCAATTCAACGATTTTTCACACCATGTATAGATATTCTTCAAGAAATTCATCCTCTGGAAATTAAAATTTATTGTACTATTGTAGCTCTACGAAGAAAAATTCAATACGATCAGAAAAAACTATTACATTGAATGCGGACAGCTCTATAGAAAGATGAAATAGGTTATTTGAAATCTCCTCAATGTCTTCCGGTTTGAATGATGATAGTATGCCCATTTTATGAGATAAAGAGAAAGAAATGCCAGATTATACATGATGATGTATGTACCACTAACAGATTGAATGAACATTGGAAAATAACCTATGCATTTGACCAGAGTTTTGTCAAAATCTAACGTATGTCATATACCACTTGAACATCCCATTGAACCAGCCAATCTCGATAATGGATACCATAAAACAAAACACCATCGCAAACAAGAACAGCGCGCACCCACCAAAAATTTCACTTTGATGACACTGTGACTTACTTTACTTTCTTCCGTGCCTCGTATGCACTCTTTTCCTATCTCCCTCTCGCTCTTTTCGGGTTTCACTCGCGACCGCGACAAATGTTCGAAACGTCGCGTCAGTCACTTGTCTGCCGGTCAGCGCCTACTGAACGAATGAAAAGTCACACCTGATCTACCTGTGGATTGCGGACTTCCCCCACTCTCCTTCTTCTTCTTCTTCTGATTTTTACTTCTTCTTCGGGCAGTTGGCAGTTGGAAGCTAGTGTTAGATGCCTATTACGTGTCTTGTTATGAATATACAGGGTGACAATTTGAACTCAAGCAGTTCTCAATATCCTTCAACTGATGATACTATGAAGATTTGACGAAACGTACCAATTTACATAACGAGGGGGATAACTTTTGATGTTTTGAATTGACTGGGCCGTTACTTGAATGGGGAAGACCACTGAGAGAAGAAATCCGTGCAAACCTCTTTTAATCGACGAATCATGAGTTACGTTTGATGTACAATCAATATTATGAGTTGAAGTTGAAGGGAATCGAATCTATATCGTTTTGAAATCAGCATATTTCATTCGATATTTCAAACAGCCAAATATGATGGAGCCGTGACGTATTAGTCCCAACCTGTAGCTATGTCTCTCTGATACCTCGTCATTCTGCAGTATTGCAGTGTGATTGGTCAGTTCAAGGACAATAGGCGTGTTGGGACTAAGACGTCGCACCAGTCACACCAATGAATTGACAAAATTTCAAATGGCGCAGGAATTGTGTGCTTTGAAATGGACATATTCTAATTTATTGTTTTCATCGTCTTAGCATGAATGACAAAATTCAAAATTAATTCGCTGGTAGTATTTTAGTATAGGGTACACGATAATGTCGTTTTAAAAAATCAGTGGTCTCCACAACTTTTGATGAACATGTTGTTGTATTATACAGGGTGTCGTTGAATTACCCTCTGTAATATTCACCTAACTTTTTATGCCCAATTTGGGAATGTTAAGAATTTTCCGGAATTTTTATCAATTGGCAAGCAGAAGATGGGGTTGGGGCTAGGGTCATTTTATTTCCGAAATAAATTTTTCTTGAAAATGGTGAGTGCTATCATCAAAACTAAACAGTAGTACTATTTTTAAGTAAAAATGGTGATATTTTTATGTTTCCCGCGGTCAAACTGCCAAAAATTTCATAAACAAAGAAGTTGGAAGTTGGGATCAAAATTCCCAACATTTTCAAATTGGGAATCAAAAGTAAGGTTATTTATGTACAAAATTTGGTTATTTTTTCGCAATGGGTTTCGAAAATATTAACCTAACCCCCAGGGCGGCATTTTTGGACCCATGTGTTTATATAAACTTTTTTAACTATTTTGGTTCCTACAGTGTGTCCACCTTAAGGACTTACCACCCCTGTAAAATTGTTATTATCTGACCGATTTCAATCAACTTTTTTTTGTTGGATAGGTATTCGAAATGTCCATCCAACAAGAGAGTGATTTTACTCATGAACTGTAATCGTGGCCAACTGCAACCAACTTTATTGACCCATATTTGGGAAAGTACTATTAGCGATTTTTTTTCAAAAAAATCAATGATGGATTCTGAATCACAATCACTTGAAAAACACCTTCACTGATTTTCATCATCATAAAACACAGGGTGTCCGAAAAAACGAATTATGTTTTTTTTTTAATAGGTGATCAGAAAATGTAGTATTGTGGTATTTTTGAGAAGAATTGATGACACATTATTATTGAGGATCACTTTGCACATATCTGTACCGATTTTCATCATTCAAAAATACGATGTGTATGAGAAAACAATTAAAAAGAAAAAGTAGGCAATATTTTTTCATCAATTCAAAAAAATTAATGATTAGATTTTTCGAACACCCTGTGTTTGATGATGATGAAAATCGGTACAGGTATGTTCCAAGTGATCCTGATTCATCTCTTTATTTCGAGTGCAGAATTATCAGGATGAAAAATGTTGCTTACCTATCCTTTTTAATTTTTTTCTCAGACACATTGTATATTCAAATGACGAAAATTTATACAGGTATATTTGAAGTAATCTCCAATGATAATTTGTGATTATTTCTTTCTAGAAAAACCACAGAACTACATTTGCTGATCACCTATTTGAAGAAAATGATGATTCGTTTTTTCGGACACCCTGTGTTTTATGATGATGAAAATCGGTACAGGTATATTTCAAGTGGTACTGATTCAGAATCCATCATCAAGTTTCGTGGAAAAAAATCCCTAATAGTACTTTCTGGAATATGGGTCATTAAAATTTGTCGCAGTTGGCCACGATAACAGTCCAAGAATTAGATCACTCTCTCGTTGGATGGGCATTTCAAATACCTATCCAACAAAAAAAGTTTTTTTGAAATTGGTCGGATATTAACGATTTTACAGGGGTGGTAAGTCCTTAAGGTGGACACACTGTATAATATGTGATTAAAATCTTTTTATGTAATTTTGGGACACACTATAATTAACTCCTTCACGAATTTTGTGATTATGATAATGACAACGAAAGTAGTCAGATACAGACCTAGCTAATTATTTGTGATTGTAGCATCACCAATAACTAGGCAAATGGCTCGCCCCTGGATAGAATATATAAGAGCATCAGCTCAAATCTGGATGCTGAACCCCTGATGTGGAAACAGTATTCTAGAGAGGCCCGTGTCTGTGCTTTGGAGACAATGCATGAGGAGCTGTCGAGGTGCGAAGTAACTTTTCTTTCGGAATAAAAACCCTTGTTTTTGTGAAGCACTTTTCGCGATGGATCTGACATGATTTTTCCATGAAAGAGTATTGCTGATCGAAATACCGAGCATATAGATATAAATAGTTGTCTTGCTGGAAATGGTGGTAGCAGACATTGTTATTATCAGGCATACTGAGTTCCACTTTTCTAGAGAAACTACAGGATTGAATTTTGGTGGCGTTTGATTCAACAAGGTTGTAATTTTAGCAAGATCTTTGGAGTCGACAAACACCAACAGGAGGAGTTGATCATATTAGAGTGGACAGTCATATTGGCCTTCATCAGAAAGTCAGGGAGATTTGTAATGGAAAACTAGGTGAAGGAAGCGTACTACAGACCAATCGCACTGCTATCTATTATTTCAAAGATCATGGAGCGAGCTCATGAAATACCTGGAACATTCAGGCATTATCAACGTTAGGCAATATGGCAACCGTCATCAGAGATCAACTACTGTCCTGCTCGCTTACGTCTCACATATATGGCAGCAATCTATCAAAAAATATGGTGAAACCTTAGCCGTGGCACTTGATATCTCCAAGGCATTAGATCGAATCTGGCACCACGGACTCCTCGCCAACCTTCCATCTTATGGCTTGCCTCCTTAGCTATGTTCTCTGCTAGCTAGTTTTCTCTCAAACAGGTCTCTCCATGTAGTGGTCGACGGAGTTTCATCTGACTCTTTCATCATAAATGCTGGTATTCCGCAAGGATCTATTCTAGCACCAACACTATTTCTACTTCATATCAACGAATTGTTGAAAGCAACTTCATGTCCAGTACACAGCTTCGCGCCTTCTTCTTCGCTACCGCCTTCTCTTCCAGAGCTCCAATACCAGCCAGGCAAATCAGAAACGAACGAGGAAGAAATGTTGACAACATAAATAAGGACTTGGCAATAATTCTCGAATGGGGATCCAATAACTTGGTCGATTTCAATGCAAACAAAACACAAGCATGCCTTTTCTCTAGAAAAGCCGATCTCACTGTTCCCAACATAAGCTTGTCAGGAGTAACCATACATTTGATGATATCAATTTCGATGCTTGGTATTACTATCAGCAATAACCTTTCTTGGGAAAATCACGTGAGATCAATTGCTGAAAGTGCATCCTAAAAACTGGTTTTTTGTTTCGGGCCAGAAGCTATTTCACTTCCAGTCAGCTGCTTATGATCTTCAAGGCACAGATCTGACCTGTTCTGGAATACTGTTCCCATATTTTTAGAGTGCAGCACCCAAACATACCCTGAAACTGTTATTGGATTCTGTCCAAAAAAGGGCAATTCGTCTCGTGGGTGATGCCTCGCTCACAAACTCACCCACTTCTCTGGAACACCGTAGGAAAGTTGGCGATCTGTCTTTATTTTATAGATATTTTCATGGACGATGTTCTTCTGAAATATCAACAATTGTTCCTCCCTTGGCAGTCCTCGCGAGATTAAACCGTCGAGTTGAGGCTTCGCTCCACTTCGTGGTCACTTTGGAGACCTGCAGAACATCTCTTTCCAAAGACTCGTTCATCCAACGAAAAGCAAGGCTCTGGAACACATTGCCAAGGCATATAACCTCCAGAAATTCAAGAAGAACACCAATTCCTTCCTTATTTCCTTTGGTTCTCACGATGTTCTCTGAACATTACAGAATATTCCTTTTCGTGGGAACCAGAACTATGTGGAGAGCAGCGGTTAGCATTGGGGCCTACTTGCTTGTCTACAGCCTCCCCACCTACTATTACCTACTAGCAAGATCTTCATTGACAGCGTTGACCTGCCTTTGTCGTGAGTTCTTAGTTTCCTGAGAAGAAATTGCAATTCTGGAAGAGAACGTAGTATAAAGAGTAATATCATCTGCGAACCTGTGGATAGGGCTAGTGGTTGCTCCCAATAGATCATCAATGTTGTTGGGTTTTATTTTGAATTTGTAATGTTAGTGATTTCGAATGACTTTGTATATTGTTTTTTTTTGAGATATGACATATTTTTGAAAGATAAAAAAAAGGGTTGAAGTTTGTGAAGAATAAATAGAAACGAAAAAAGGTACAAGAGTAGTTATCTAATTTGTAAAGGAAAAAAAATCGATAAACATTGTGCTGGTCACATCGAGCGGATCCTTATAAGGACATTTTAGGTAATTATATACAAATGTGAAGTAGGAAATATGTTGGCACCAAAATAGATCCTTGTGGAACGCCGTAATTGATGGAAATGGTATCAGATGATACTGCCTGATAGAAAACTGGATAGAAGATGACATAGCTGAGGTGGTTTCTGGAGAGATTCCCAATGTTTTTCTGATGAAGTTTGGCATATATGGGGGACGTATGCAAGTAGATCTCCAGTTGATCTTCAGTGGCGAATGCCATATTGTT